AAGCCACCGCAGCTCCTCCTATATCAAGTATGTGTATTTTGATCTATCACAGAAATTGTCAATACTTTTAGAGAGAAAACTATACTCAAATTGCACTTGAGAATGATTCCCTCTGTTTTTCAAATGCAGTCATAGGTGATCAACCAACCGACTGACTTTGATAGATTTGCCTTTATGAGTTGGAGCATATTGCGACAAAAATAGGCCATGCAGGACCCTGACACCTTATCCAGCATGTTGCCAACCTATTGAACCTAGTCTAATGAAAAGCACTGAAGTGCAAACCCTCGGCGCACTGCGCATGCACGGTACTGTTAATTGATGGGCTTTGGTATATAGTGTGCATTTGTCTCCACGCTAGTAGCGCGCAGAGAGTCTGACACAGGCTAGCTACACTAGTAGATAGCATGCGGGAGTCAATACAACGCCTTAGTTGTGACTACTTTGAGCCTCCAAGGTACACAAAGCGAGCAGATTAAGCCCAGGACGATATGCATATTAGCTTTTCGCTTGTTTTCATGACATATCTCTCGAACGCAGTCGCTTCAGGAAAATTGCCTAATAATTTTTCAGGCTCGCGTAGTTCTGAAGACGTTGGTATCACTCACGGGCGGCCTCGTAGCCTGTAGTGCAGAAATAGCTGCTGACAGACAGACAGACATCACACACAGAACGACTACCGTAACCCTCGCTGTGCATGCGCCGATGGTTAATAAAGTGATGTGTAGTCCACCCACTGAGGGCTCTAATTTGAACTGTCTCACTGTGCCTACAGCTGCTGAGTCAGCCACGCCCTCTCTCTCCTGTTCGTTTCTGCAGTTCCCCCCACTCCCAGCCTCCTCTCTCTGTCTCCACAGCTCTGCCTCCTCTCACCACTGCCACCCACTACTACCAACACTCCTGGTGAGTTCTGAGCTGATGTATTTATTAGATGACATTTTAGCAAGCTGGAGAGCGATCCAACTACAGATATACAGCCATTGGTGATCACAGGGAGGAGTATAGTTTGTCGTCCTCCGCTGCTGGAGGTGTGCCTCTCGTGCGTGCGATGCCAGCAAGAAGGGCGTGCTTTCCAGTCCTCAGCTGCTAGACGCTGCCGGCCTGCGAGCTATGTCTCTTGCTCCTTGCTGTTTCTGGAGCAAGAGGCTGCCTTCCTGCGAGCTCCCCTGTAGTAGAGGCGTTGTTGTGCTGGGGGATCGATGACAATACGTTAGGCACAGGTGTAGAATGCATAGGATTGGACAAAGAAGACTGAATTCTATGGCTTTTGCCTTGGGAACTACAAGTTTTAGTGGGTGGTTGTTTCTCAGTTCACTAATCACTTGTTGCCTGGAGTAAAAGAACAATAGAAAAGTGTATCATAATAATTATGTAGCACTTATCCTCAATTAGTGAGCTGTCTGGGCCTTCCCTTGCACCTGGACTGTCAAAACTGTTTAGGCAAACACACCTCATAAGGAGCATCAAGTGTTTGTGGCTAATCAATGGCTGCCCAGGTAGTGCTGCCAACGCCACCCTAGCAAAGACAGCACTTGGAGCGTTTTGGTTTAGTCCAGCGAGGGCTTATAGGCGCGTGAAACCCACTATTGCTATTGCTATTGCTATTACTATTGCTTGCTCTGTGAAGTTGTAGGTCGATTGTTTGAACAGAGCTCGCTCGCTGCACACCATGGCTTGGGTATTACCATACGTAACAGTAGTGTGGCTCCATTGCATTCCTTGTGGCCACTGGAACCTCCATACTTTCTATATGGGACATACATGTAACTTTGTTAGCGAGCGTCAGACGTAAACACAGGCTGTTTCTACGGAACCTTACGTGCTTTGAACATCTGGTTTTGGCCGTAGTTTAGCGGAGTTACGGCGGATTTCCCGACTGTAAGGGGCGTGTATTGCCTTCGCATGCTACCAAGTAGTGTAGCTAGCTCCTGTCTCACTCTCCACGAGCATGCAAGAGACCACGAGTACGGTGGTATAACCCAGCCCATCAATTAGTGGTACCGCACATGCGTTTACGTGCGTGGTGTGCACCGAGGGTGTGCACTTCAGTGCATTATTTTGTAATTATAATCACAGATGCGAACAAAAACACATGTATGGTGTTGAATTACACTATGGTGTTTTTGCCTAAGAAAACAGACCATCAATTACTACATTATTTGCATACTTGCTTGAAGAACTAAAGTGCATATCCTCTGGAAACTGTGCATGCACAATATTGCTAATTGATGGGCTGGGCTATGTGTATGCATTTACTTGTGGTCTCCCGCTATTAGCTCGCGGAGAGTCTGACATGGGCTAGCTAGTAGTAGATAGCATGCCATTCGTTGTGACTTCTTGTGCCTTCAAGGTACACAGAGCGAGCGGATCAGGCCGCAGTAAGCCCAGTGCAATTATGCATATTGGCTTTTTCGCTTGTTTTCACGGCATATCTCTCGAACGCAGTCGTTTCAGGAAAATCGCCCTTTTATTTTTCAGGCTCGCGTAGTTCTGAAGCCGCTGGTATCGCTAATAGGCCGCCTCGTAGCCTGTAGTGCCAGAATAAGCGTCGACACACAGACAGACAGACAGACAGACAGACAAACCAACTACTGTAACCCTCGCTGTGCATGCGCGCCGAGGGTTAATAATTCTGCGTAACTTTAGGCTAAGTATACCTTTAACTCCTACATTTCAGATCCAACAGCAATCTTGAGAGAAGCCTTGAAGGATGGCTCCCTCAGTCCAGACTGCGTGGCCCATCCTCTCACTCCTGACCAGAAGATGTGGCTCCCCACTCCTGCAGAAGGTAAGTTTGTCATACTGAGAGACAGGTTTCATAGCATAGAGGTTTGCCTTTGCCTTGTGTTGTGTTGGTATTTAGCCTTGCCTGCTTAGCAGCCCTGGTATTCTGCCTAGGGAGCATTTGCCATTGGGTTCGAGTCCCAGCTCATTGAAAGAGTGGTGTTGTTGATTTGTTTCACCTTGCCTTAGGTTTAGCTACACCCCGAGATTCATTCAAGTATGCTTCCAGCTACAGTGACAGCTACTGTTTCTCCTCGCAGGTCCTGAAAAGAAGACAAACCCAAGACGACAGAAAAAAGCCACCGCAGCTCCTCCTATATCAAGTATGTATTTTGATCTGTCACAGAAATTGTCAATACTTTTAGAGAGAAAACTATACTCAAATTGCACTTAAGAGTGATTCCCTCTGTTTTTCAAATGCAGTCATAGGTGATCAACCAACCGACTGACTTTGATAGATTTGCCTTTATGAGTTGGAGCATATTGCGACAAAAATAGGCCATGCAGGACCCTGACACCTTATCCAGCATGTTGCCGACCTATTGAACCTAGTCTAACATCTCCCACTGGGCAAATTTTCAACTGCCAAACTGCTGGTTTGATCAAGGATTGCTTGGTGGGAGTTCATGTGCTCTGGCCTATCATGCACTATACCAGATAGAAGACATTTCCTGCCACCTGACCAGTAGTGGATAGGGCTAAGTGCCAGGTACTTGACAGGTAGTTAGCAGAAGACCTAACCTTTGACCTTTCATATCTAATGCAGACCACCTATAATAACTTTGCATTGTGCTTACATATCACATATCTTTACGACTATCCCAAATGTGTTCACGATCTATCAGATCATCTTGCGCATCACATATCCCTGTCAATTCACATGATTATACATGACCTCTCAACGAGAAATCAACAACAAAAGAATGCAATTATCCATTGTTCAGTATGTTCACTGCTGGATCACTGCCCAGCTGGGAAACCCACGGGGAGCAGGTCTTGATGAGATTAAATCACTGCATATGCGTGGCTTTGTTTGACGACTTGCTTGTTCGGTCTTTCGGGATGCACGGGCAGTGTCGAGTCGTTCAAAAAAGCTGGACACCCTCTCACTCCTCCAGTGAAGCTTCTTCACCATAAAAACAGCACACCCATCTTCTTCTCCACTCTCATCACTTGACATGAATTCGGTGACGAAAATCTTCCTCCATTTCACCCGGTCAGCTTCACTGAAGGACAGTTTGTTGAACTGTGCCTCCCTCTCGGCACGTCTCTGCGGGATAAAGATTTGGAACACATATGACCAAGGGTGGTGGCTGACTGAAAAAGTGTGGGCAGAGCTGGCCGTAAAGCGGGGTCAATTCGTATTGGTGAGCATTATTTGGGGCCGGAAATCGCGGCCGTTATACGGAGTAGAGGGGTGGCCATGAAGCATGGGTTTCTTATGTACTATTCTAAGGGCGATGCAATCGGGATCAAGGTAAGTGTCTGCTATAGAAGGATTGGTCACTTATCAGAGGTGGTCGTTAAGAGGTGTTCCACTGTACCTAGTCGTCTGAATGCAGGATTTGCTAAAGTGATGGGTAGCTACTGAACACATGTGTACTCCACGTGATTCTAAACCGCTCACGCTCGCTCACATGAAATTGTGTCGCATTCATTAGGGTAGCATAATACTGCATGCCTAAAAATGTGAGCAAAGCATGTTC